ATGTAGAATCTTAATCATGAATTGTTTCATAATACAATATTTTAAAATGTTTGCCCACCTGAAAAAAAGTACATAAAAAATATAAAGACATTAGATACTACATTTAATACCCTAAAGCTATGTTCATATATAACAACATAAGCCATGGAATAGCATATTCAATAATTCATCCATATTAATAATTTAATAATCAATCCTGCATCCCTGACTTTAGTTGACTGGACCATTATTCCACATCAAATTAAAACTGCAGACTCTACTCATAAACAGCAAGGTGGTTGAATTTTTATTTTGGTAAAAATACAATAAATGGACAAATGAAACTAGCACTTTAAGAGTACATTTAAATGTTTCAAATAGATCAGGACAGTTGAATAAACAATGCCATAACCCAGTATTTTAGGTAATATAAAATGCCTAATTATTATTGACTATATCAGAATAAGAAAGGATATTAATAAAAGGTTGTTTAGATGGATCCTATAAATCAAATATTTTAAGAGATTATCCATTTTTCTCAATTACCCACCAATACTTTTTAAATTATGATTTTTTTTTTAATTAATAAATTTTATTTTTATATTCCCCATACAATTGCAATCCCCCATTCTGATCCCAATCCCTCCCCTCCCGCCCCCCACCCCCCAAAAAGTGTCTCTGGTTCATAGTTTTTGTTGATTTTGATTTTCACTTTCTTATAGTTATTCATTTTCCTGGTCCCTTATTTAAGTTTTCTAGATTCCTGCTATGAGTGAGACCATCCGGTATTTTTCTTTTTCTTTTTGGCTTATTTCACTGAGCATGATCCCTTCCAGCGTCATCCATGTTGCTGCAAATTGCATGTGTTTATCTTTTTTGAATGCTGAGTAATATTCCATGGTATATATGTACCACATGATTTTTAAATGTGAAAGTACATAAAATATCGTAAGATGGGGATAAACTCACAGTACCTTTTCTCCAATAGTAATATACACATAAGCAAAGTATGCCTTTACCTACAGGACACATTAAATGTTTTGTAAAATATTACATATTGCCTCATGTTCTCATTACTTCTACAGCCCTACCAAAAAACCTATAAAAAACAATTATAATGAAGTGTGTTTCTTCAGTACATTTCAACTAATACTTGTTTTTATCTAGCTTCAGTACCCAAGGTAGGGTACACAAGATTTTTCCTTAAATAATGATTTTATGCAACTTTTAACAGTTATTAAAGAAGATATTTGGGTGATTTAAAGTCAATTTTCCAAGTAATCACTCATGAAAATTACTGTACTTTGGTTTTAAACCCATATGTCCCTTAGACTGCTTTGACTTATGAGCATTACCATTTGTTTCAGAGAATCTTAAAGAACTATTTAGTAGTTTTTTTCTGTTTATTTGTTGAATCAAGGCAATAATTTGAAAAACAATAATCAGATAGGTTTGGTTGGATTTGCAATTTATGCTAATTGTTACATTAAATTTAATTTTAAATAATTTGATGGGAAAATTTAAACCAATAAGAACTGATTGTTAAATACTAGATATTAAATTCCAGACAACATGATCTTATGATATTCTTATAGAATTCAATTTGTAAGAAGACATTTTTCCCACTTCCATATCCAATTGGAATTAACATATACTAAAGTTCTTCTTTTCAGATAACTACCAACATGTTAACTTAAACTTGACTATGGATAGGCGCTATCCATTGGAGATTACTAATAAAAAGACTTTCTGACCCCACAGTGTTTATTAATTAATCCAGAACCTCTAAACCAGAGCTCAGCAACTGAAATATGCCTTGAGTTCTTGGCTTGTCATTCCGAATTTAGGAGTCAGGAAATCCTTCCTTTCTTGAACAATTATTGTTTTAGGATGGTTTTGCCACAGCTGAGTTTTACTAGTTTAACTCTCTTTGATCGACAAGTAACAAATTCAAATTTCCTAAATTAATATACACAAAGTGTATTTCACCCAGTAAGTAAGTTAATCATCATCTGTTCAAGTGAGACTGAAACTCCTCAGTAGACTGGGGAGATAACTACAGAAGCCAACAATTTCTTCTCTAGGGTAAACACATCCTACATGCTGCCAAACATATGCAGCAATAACTAACAATCACAATTATATCAACTTTGGCTTAAGTGTCAACTGTTTATTTGTCCCTCACATCACATGCACCTCAGTATGATATCCTTTGCTCTGCATTGTCATTTTTATTTTATTTTTCCCCATCACCACCCCTTTATATGCCTTTTACCGTTTTCCGCATCTTCCTCCCTCTTAAACTCAGAAGCCTCACCTCATTTTTAAAGAAACTTTAATTTTTATAAATATTTTACTTTGTTAAATCATATATGGAAGTACCCAATAGCGTCTTTGTCATTCTGATTTGCTTTCCTACACTTAATTCCCCAGAACTCATTCCATTTTCCTCTAAATGGAAACATTTCATTTCTCTCATGACTAAATAATATTCCATTGTGTATATAAACGTCTTCATCCATCCTCTGTCGGTGACACTTATTTTTCTGCCTTAGCTATTATAAATAATGCTACAATAATCATTGCAGAGCATATAATTTTTTGAGTTGATGGCTTCATGTTCTTCAGATAGTTAACTGTCCAAGGGCAGGATTGCTGAGTCATAGAGTATTTCCATTCCTAGTTTTTTTTTTTTTTTTTAAGATTTATTTATTTATGCATACAAGACCTGGGGTACAGGCCGGAGTTTTGGAGGGTTAGATAATTCACCAGAGACAGAGTGGGGAACAGAACAGGAGATTAATAATAAAAAGAACAGGCAGATCGACTGAAATACACTGCTGAGGGGAGCAGCGGGCGAGACAGGAGAGGTCTGCTGTGCCATGTGGGTAGCTCCCTGGCCAGGGATTGAACTTGTGCTGTAGTGGCTGTGGTGCTTCATAGGTTGCATCTTAACCCCTTGCACCACCAGGGAGGCTTCGTCTGTTCCTAGTTTTTAAGGTAGCTTTTCAAAATGGCTTGTGCTAGTTTTCATTCCCATCAACAGTGTAATAGGGTTCCCCTTTTCCCACATCCTCTCTTTAATATGTGCCATTCTCATGGGTGTGGTAGCTCATTGCGGTTTTGTGCTTTTGCCTGCATCTCTCTTATTAGAAGTGATAATGAACATCTTTTCATATGTCCATTGGTGAATTGTCTGTTCAGTTCTGCTATCCATTTATAAATTGGGTTGTCTGTTTTTTATTATTAAATTATAGAGGTTTTTATATACCTTGGATATTAATCCATTGTCAGTAGTGTAACAGGTATGTATTTTGTCCTATTCAGTAGGAAGCATTTTAATCTACTATATTTTCTTTCACTGTGTAAAGTTTTTAATTTGAGATAATCTCAATTTTTTATTTTTGCTTTTATTTCCCTTGCTATGGGGCTTGAGTCTCTGAAAACATCTTTATCTCTGATGTCAAGAAATATATTGCCAATGCTTTCTTCTAGATATTTTATTACTGCAGTTCTCATATCTAAGTATTTAATCCATTTGGAATATATTTGTGCATATAGATAGACAGTGAGTCAACCTCATTCTTTTTCTATGCGGCAGTCCAATTTACCCAGCACCATTTAACGGAATTCTCCTTTCCACACTATATGGTTGTAACTCCTTAATCGTGAATTAAGTATTGATATGTATGTGCATTTAATTCTGGGCTTTCAATTTGGTTCCACCAATCCATGAGTCCATTTCTATTCTAATACTATTTATTGTTACTTTATAGTACAATTTAAAGGCATGTAATGTGATGACTGTTTCCTCCTTTTTTCTTAAGGATTATTTTGTTATTCAAGGCCTTTTACAGTTCTATATACATTTTAAAATTTGTGTAATTTCTTTGAGGAATATCATTTGGTATTTTGATGAGGATTACATTAAATTATTATATAGCTTTTGGTACAATATTCACTTTGACTATTTATATTTATTCACCCCATTATTTTCCCTTTCAGACATAATTCTATTCTTTCTTATAAAAATCTCTGTCCCAGGGCTCCCCAGTGGCACAGCAGTTGAGCGCTGGGCTGCGAAGCTGCCCGCAGCCTCTGCAGTGCCGATTCGATCCCCGGCCACCGGTGAGGGTCCCACATGCGCACAGACCTCTCCTGCCATGCCTTCTCCTCCCTTCAGCAGTGTATTTCGTCAGTCTGTCTGTTCTGCTCCCTGCTCTGGCTCTGGTGAATTCTCTCACCCTCACATGTTTCTGACTATACCCAGTGCTTGTATAAATAAATAAATAAAACAAAAAAAAATAAAGCAAAAACAAAATAAACAAACAAAAAAACTCTGTCCCTCTCAGGTTCTTGACCCATAGTATAGGACCATTTTTAAGTCTTAGTTTTCCCATCTTTTTTATTTTTGACTATTCTGTTTGGTCACTGAATATCTTCGATAGTCCTACAAGTAATCCTCTACACCATGGTCAAACACATCCACGCAACTCTATCCTTTTAGGATAATACATGCTACATGTTGACTGGAAGTGCCTGTGTCTGTAAGACTATTTACATCCAACTATCTCAGTCATATATCCCATAATTATCACCTAAAATGCAAAATAAAACTGACAATAAAATAAGAAGGTTTAAAATAAAAAAAAACTAAGTCAATATACTTGGTTACAGTGACACAAAAGATGAGCAGCATTAGCTTCTAGGCCATTTACAAGGCTACAGAAATTACCATTCATCTGTGTAATTCCAACTCATATTCATCTGTAAATAGATGAATTGGCACATCTACTATTGAGAGCATCAATTAAATAATCAACTGAAAAAACTGTGGGATCAGTTTTATTGGAGAGAATCCAGTATTTCTTTTCCCAACTATAAATCTTGATCTAATCATTAAGCTAAAACTCTATATTAAAAATAAACTAAGGCTACAATTCAAGCGAACTATGTATGAGTAGTGATAAAAATCAACATTACCATGAGAAAAATAATTTTTTAAAATGAAAATAACGAACCTTTTTTTTTCAAGGGAGGCTCCTCTATTTCACCTAAACCAAACAAAAACAGCAAATTAGAAAAACATAATATAGTATAACACTCTTTCTCTATTTTCCCAATTTCCTGTGTTTATTATAAAAAAATTTGTTTTGACAATAGTAGTTCTTAAATTGTTTCTCTAATTCCATTTTTTAAATATAAACTTAGTTTATGTACCTATACTTGAACTAATTTTACTTTTATGAGTTCAATAAAATTGTGGCAGTGATCCAAATTATACATTTGAGTTTATGTGTCATGTTCATTCAATTCTCTATTGTTCATCTTGACCTCTTCCTGGGGCCCAAAAATACAAATTCAGACAAAGTAATAGAAAGGGCTAAAATAATAAAAGATTTCCTGGTAGTCAAGGTAAATACATGATTTCCCATAATTAAGGCTGATACTAAAAATACCATAAAAAGGCAGAATCACAGTGCTTATTTTTTCACATCCATTTGATAATGATTTATATTGGTTTGAGTTTGCTATTTCCTTTTATTCATTAACATATATGAAAAAGTGCATAGGTAAGTTAGATAATTGTTGTGACAATTACAATGTGTGCTCCAATCTACATCTTCATTTGCTTCAATAAATTTACTTTTGATGATGATTTTAGTAGACTTGCTTTCCGCCATTTGACTATGAATATGACTTATTTGTACAAAACATATATATGTATATTTAGTCTTACCATTGTTGTTCCCTCCCTCCCCAGTTTTTCTAAGGATAAACTTGAGACATAGCTACTAATATATTCCCCAAAGAAGCATTTAAATGTGAGTTTATACAATGGATTTGTAGTAGTGCACAATAAGATCCTCTCTACCAAAAGGCTACTCTAATGATATACATTAGAGTATCTTTTATATCTCTGCCATAGTAGCAGAATATAGGATGAAAGGCAAATATAGAGATTAATTTACTGAGTTTGGCTGCCTGTTGATATAATATTAGAAAAGTATTATTTGGAGTTAGCCTAACCAAGTGCTCATTTATAGTTCAACTTAAACAAACCTTTTAATACATAACTAATATTAGATGTGTCTCTATGCAGCTCATACCTTTATCAGCGTCCTCGTCACCATCATCATCTTCTTCATCACCCTCAGATGAGATAATGTCAGATAACAAAGAAAAGAAACCATAAATCCAGTCTGTAGTTTCCTCCACAGCATCATGTACAAATTTTAGAGGATCTGAGCCAATCTTGGAAATAGAACTTGCTAAAATAATTTAAAACAAAAGAAAAAAATTACCATCAGTCCCAAAGAAACTGACAAAAGTTATCCTGATTTGTTCTTATGACACAAATACTGTGTCAATTTCATAAATTTAAATATTTCTTGATGATATTTTCTTTATTTTGCTCATAAATAGAAACTACATCTTGTCATGGTATACATGTTTACTTAATTAAAAAGAAAAGTTATTGAACACCTCTGATACCAAATCCTATAGGTTATCTTATGCTGAGAATTTTATAATCTAGATAAATGTCCAAGTCCAAACTTGATTCCATTGATCCAAGTTCACACTAGATTCCATTGGTTTAGTCACTGGATTTTTTTTTTTTTAAACATTGAAAAAATTAGAAGACTAGCCCTTTTTTTTAACCCATTGATTCCAAACACGAGATAGTACCTGAAAACAAATATTTGAATTTCTAATAAATTTAATGAATAGAATTAGGAAAATTGGAATTCTATAGGTCTTCCTTTAAATATACTAGGGTATAAAAGCTATTTGTGAAATTAGAGATTAAATGAAAAATCAAACAGATAGTTTAAGGATTTCCAAAATGTTGTTTTCCAATTCTAATTATATAAAAATTGTTCTGAAGGGGCAAGAATAACCTTTAAGGTCTGATTGAAGAGGTGACCTATCTTGAAATATGGACTAAGATGCTCCTAACTTTTCATCAATCTGTAATTAAGTTTTAGCATTGTTTTCCTTCATTTCAAAAACAATTTTAGTATTTTAGAGATTCTTCTCCCTATGATACATTTAAGAGACTAGAATCATACTAACATATTACAATATCTAAAGGTTAAGTACTGCAAAATTAAGCTTTTACTCTGATTGATAAAGGAAGTCATTGAAAGATTTGAGCAGAGAAAAAATGAGTTGACTTATATAACTTCTTTTGCTATGTTGAAGATTGCAAGAATGCCAAGTTGGAAATAGGGAGAATAGTAAGAAGGCAAATGAACTAATCCAGAAGAAATACAACAGTAATTTTGATCATGATGAAACAGTACATATTCTATATGTATTTAAAAAATATAATTAAGAGTATATAGGCAAGGATGTAGTGCAATTATATATATATAATATATATATATATATATATATATATATATACACACACACACACACACACACATAAATATCTCGTGTTAGCAAACGCTGATCAGTCAAGTAGGAAAATTGAGACTAACCTTTGGATTCAACAATGAAAGTTTCAGGAGAGTGATTTCAAGACCAAATGAGAAAAATATAGAGGGGTATATTTGCTATGAATTAAATAATTGAGATTGAGAAATGGTTGAAGGAAGACTAATATCATAGATGATTTTTTTTAACATTTATAAAATGAAAAGAATATGTTTCTCTTTTTTTCCCCACTGATTCCATAGAAAAGGGAACATGAGAAGTAGACTATTTAGGGGAATTTTTAATTTTAATTCAGAGGACTCCATGGGGCACAGAGCCTATTCCCAAGGATACCAAATTATAAATTATTGGTCTCAGGGAAACATCTCAATGATTCAGTGCTAACACAACTGCTCTTTAAACCTTATTTTACTGAATTCTGAAGAGTTTCATCTGAGCAAGAAATGGTAACCTAATTGGTGAGTTTAAACTTTACAAGAAGAAATTGAAATTGAATTTTAAATTGCAATGGAGAATTTCAAAATATTTTATGTAGGGAACTAGACTTTTCTGGCACCATTAAAAGCATTTTTAGCACTAGTACATTTTATATCCAATGGAAGACTACTCCAAATTGGATTTTTATGGTCTGAATAGATTAAAACTATTTCCCCATTTTTCTTCTTTTAAGTGTTCAGTGTGGATCACAGAAATAAAATCCAACAAAATAGATATTAGTTTAATTATCCTGATGCCTATATATACAATATATACTCTGCAGACATGTATATTGCCTGGTTCTAAAGTAGTCAAATTAGACTACTTTCATAAGGACCATGTAGTTGGCTTGAGACCAAGTTCTAATTTTTAGTCATGTAAACAACTTTAATTATCTTTGTTTACATATACTTAAATAATTAAATAGTAGTCAACAAGATGATTCTTACTCTCTCTTGCAGATATCATATTCAAATCATATCAATAGAAATAATATTATCCAATGTAATATCCTTTTATAAATTTTTTAGTGATGTCCTTTTTATAAAGGGATAATCAAGAAATTGTACTTTCTTACCTCTCATGTTAAATTATACATATTGCAGTTAAGATCATCATAAATTGATAGAAGTTAACACTTAAAGAGTATATACTACCTGCAGGATTGTACTCTAAGAACTTTATGAATATTGATTCTTGTTTTCATTCCAATAACCCTATAAGTATAATAAAACTGAGGCACAGAGAATTTAAACAAACTGCAAAAGAGAAATTAAATGAGTCACTTTCTTTGCTTCTTCCTAATTACACAAGTCCATGCCTTCACCATTATGCTTGACCATCAATCTTCAATTCTTTAAATAATATTTGACTCTTCTTTATCTTTTATATCCTAAGAAACATCAGCAGACAACAGGTACAAGCATACAATCAAGATCAGACTAAGTATTCAAGTTCAGACCTCCTACCTTGTACATGAAAAACCATATTGGAGCCACAGACAAAAGGAAAAATCAGTATAATGATCCTGTTTTTTGTGTTTATTTTTTTCTGTGCTATCTTAATTTAGAAATTAGGATATTTTATTGTGATCAGGCATGTGTGCATTGATTGTTTTATTTGTCTATATCTTTTATAAGTGGGATAAAAAGTTGAATACATTCCAAACAGGCACATACAAGAATAATGCTTACTTATAACAAAACCACCTGGAAGAATTTTATGAGGATTTATTTCTAAGTGTATTCTCCCCCACACCTGGGTCCTGAGTCCTGTGTCTCTGTTCAATTTAGACTCACCATAACAATGGAAAAGCATTTTAATATCTATTTTGGAAAACATTTTATTCTTGTTATGAGAATTTTAACATCTAATAAATATGCTGTCTTTATTTAAAAAATTAATATTTTATTCATCACAGATTTTTACTTTAATATTGAAATTTTAAATGTTGCATTAAAATATTACTTTAATCACCAAGATTTTTAGAGTCCTCTTAAATTTTATACCAAAGGAGAGTACTTACTCACCTTGCTCTAGTTCTGGTGTTTCCTCCACCTACCAGCTGTGTGATGTTGAGAATAATTTTTGTCATATTTATAAAACTTAGACTTCTCTGCTTTTCCAAAGTGATTATTCTAAATCAAGACCTCAACTCCTTATGCCTATTATCCCTAAAATCAACCATCTCATAAACCAATTTATAATGTATCCAGTTCTGGAACAATTTATAATATGTAAAAAAGGAAAACCAAAGAACTCTGTATTTCAGTTTGCTCAACTGTAAAATGGCAATAAGAGCAACAATACTTCATAAGGTCATTGTGAGTATTACTTGAGATAATGCATTCAAATATCACACAGTAGAGTGCTTAGCAATTAATAATCTCAATGCAGAGACAAGTGAGATTATGATAGAAGTTATCAAAAAAGAGAACAACTGAGTGATAGGTCTCTAGATTTGTCTATCAAATCTCTGAGTCACCCCACAGGAAAGCAGGAGTCCCTTGCATCTCTGATCCTTCACCCAAAAGTCTTTTTCTACACCAGATGGCATTTATTGGTGCCCACTCAAACTCATTACATATACAGTATTTGGAGTAAAGTGCTTAAGGTATAGTAAAGGTTAGATAATTATTAATTCAATTTTCAGAATCATTTAGCACAATCATTTAGTAGTGCCCCAAAAGTGGAGTCACTATAAATATCACTTTGCCATCACTTAGTTACTACATCCTCACATACAGGGTCTGTGAAATGCAATCCTTATGAATAATGGCCAACTTGTTTTCCTAAGTACTTCCCAGAAAATATTCACACCTAAGTATTTGGATTTCAATTAAGGTAACTTTTTAAGTTTTTCCTAGATTAGGAAAAATTCAATTTGTCTGTATATTGATGTGTATTCCTTGTACATAGTATCTGAGGTTGACTAAAAAAGAGAATATTTAGCATTTACAATGTGTAATATTCTAACTTTATTTTTCACTTCTTGTTTGGTTTTAGATTCCACATAGAAGTGAAATCATTTGTCTTTCTCTGTCCCACTTATTTCACTAAGCATGATGTTCTTGAAGTTCATGCTGTAGCAATCAAGATTCCATTCTTTTTATGACTGAATAATAAATATTATATATAAAACATATTTGTTCATTCATTAATCAATGGACATTTCAGTTGTTTCAATATCTTAGCTATTGTAAATAATGCTGCAATGTACATGGAGGTGCAGACATATTTTCAAGTTAGTGATTTTGTTGTCTTTGGAAATTTCCATTCCCAACAATAGAGTAAAACCATTCCCTTTTCACTACATTCTTACCAACATTTGCTATTTCTTGTCTTTTTTATAATAATAGCCATCCTAACAGGTATAAAGTGATATCTCATTGTGATTTTGGTTTATCCTTGTTCACTACATCAAGAATTGATAAACCCTGTTTCATGTACCTATTAGTCATTCCCTTTCTTATTGATTTTTATATACTTTTTATATATTTTGAGTTTTTTTAAATTATTTTTTAAAGATTGATTGATTTATACAAGCACTGGGTACAGTCAGAAGTGTGGGGGGTGACAGAATTCACCAGAGCCAGAGTGGGGAGCAGAACAGGCAGAATGATGAAGTACACTGTGGATGGGAGCAGCGGGCGCAGCAGGAGAGGTCTGCGAGCCATGTGGGAGCCTCACTGGCGGCCAGAGATCAAACTGGCGCTGCAGAGGCCGTGGGCAGCTTCGCATCCCAGCACTCAACTGCTGAACCACGGGGGCGGCCCTATTTTGAGTTTTTAAATTATATATACACTAGATATATTTTTCCTCCGATTTCATGGGTAGTCTTTCATTTTGTTTA